CAAGTTCAAAGGCCAAGCATGTGAGGCATTCAACAAGTTCAAGAAGTCAGTTGAATTGGATAGTGGTTACAAGGTGAAAGCATTGAGAACTGATCGTGGAGGTGAGTTTGTCTCCACCAACTTTGAACAACTTTGCAATGAAGAAGGTATAAATAGGTATTTAACCGCACCATATACGCCACAACAGAATGGTGTGGTTGAACGCCGAAACCAAACAGTTCTTGGAACCACAAGATCTATGTTAAAGGCCATGAATATGCCGCAATGGTTGTGGGGAGAAGGTGTACGACATGCTGTCTACATCTTGAACAGAACTCCGACAAAAGCTTTAGAAAAGAAGACCCCGTATGAAGCCCTGAAAGGACGGAAGCCCAATTTGGAACACCTAAAGGTGTTTGGATGTATGGCGCATGTCAAAGTACCAACACCCAAATTAACAAAGCTGTCAGACAGAAGCGAGGCAATGGTACATCTTGGGAGTGAACCAGGAAGCAAAGCATATCGACTTTACAACCCAAAGACAAAAAGGTTATGTGTTAGCAGGGATGTCCAATTTGAAGAAAACAGAGCGTGGGACTGGGCTAAAGATTTGGAGACAGAGGGAAATGAAAGTCATGTTGAATTTGTAGTTGAAAATGAAGCTTGTGTGACTGGTCAAGGATTGACTCAAAATGGTGGCAGCCAACTCAATACCTCACCCAATCACACTGAAGACCCAATCACACTGAAGACCTGACTGCTCCAAATGTACAGAATGGGTGTGAATCTGTTAGCACACCGGAGAATTGTTTGTTGTCTAACCTAAAGTCGCCTGCCTCGGTTCCAAGCACTCTTATCAGCCCACTAAATGTTCCTAACAGCCCGCATGGGTTTGAAAATCTTAGTACATCAAGTGCAAGTCCTATTTCAAGTTCACATTACGATGATACACCCCCTCGAGGATTTCGCCACCTAAATGATGTGTATTCAAGAACTCAATCGATACAAGAGAAGGCTTTCAATCCACCTCACTTTGATGACGCAGAACTATTACTATCCAATGAAGAACCAAGTACCTTTAATGAGGCCAAAGATAGCAAAGAATGGAATGCTGCAATGCAAGACGAATTGGACTCTATAGAAAGGAATGGAACCTGGAAATTGGTTGAACTCCCGAAAGGAGTTAAACCGATTGGTCTGAAGTGGGTTTATAAAGCCAAAAGGGATGCCAAAGATAATATAATTCGCTA